TTCAGGCGATTCCTGTCCCAGTACATCAAAACCCGCTCTCAACCACCTTCAGGCGATTCCTGTCCCAGTACATCAAAACCCGCTCTCAACCACCTTCAGGCGATTCCTGTCCCAGTACATCAAAACCCGCTCCCAACCACCTTCAGGCGATTCCTGTCCCAGTACATCAAAACCCGCTCCCAACCACCTTCAGGCGATTCCTGTCCCAGTACATCAAAACCCGCTCCCAACCACCTTCAGGCGATTCCTGTCCCTGTACATCAAAACCCGCTCCCAACCACCTTCAGGCGATTCCTGTCCCAGTACATCAAAATCCGCTCCCAACCACCTTCAGGCGATTCCTGTCCCAGTACATCAAAACCCGCTCCCAACCACCTTCAGGCGATTCCTGTCCCTGTACATCAAAACCCGCTCCCAACCACCTTCAGGCGATTCCTGTCCCTGTACATCAAAACCCGCTCCCAACCACCTTCAGGCGATTCCTGTCCCTGTACATCAAAACCCGCTCCCAACCACCTTCAGGCGATTCCTGTCCCTGTACATCAAAACCCGCTCCCAACCACCTTCAGGCGATTCCTGTCCCTGTACATCAAAACCCGCTCTCAACCACCTTCAGGCGATTCCTGTCCCAGCACATCAAAACCCGCTCTCAACCACCTTCAGGCGATTCCTGTCCCTGTACATCAAAACCCGCTCTCAACCACCTTCAGGCGATTCCTGTCCCAGTACATCAAAACCCGCTCTCAACCACCTTCAGGCGATTCCTGTCCCAGTACATCAAAACCCGCTCTCAACCACCTTCAGGCGATTCCTGTCCCAGTACATCAAAACCCGCTCTCAACCACCTTCAGGCGATTCCTGTCCCTGTACATCAAAACCCGCTCTCAACCACCTTCAGGCGATTCCTGTCCCAGTACATCAAAACCCGCTCTCAACCACCTTCAGGCGATTCCTGTCCCAGTACATCAAAACCCGCTCTCAACCACCTTCAGGCGATTCCTGTCCCTGTACATCAAAACCCGCTCTCAACCACCTTCAGGCGATTCCTGTCCCAGTACATCAAAATCCGCTCTCAACCACCTTCAGGCGATTCCAAACACTGACATTGTTTCACCGACCACTGTATTAACTATATTCCAGACATTTGTTCTGTGGGGCAGTATGTGTATTAGTGCCATCTCAACAGAAACGGTTGAAGACGCATAGTGACTTGCAGCGACCGGGATATCATGTTTGTCATGTGTCAACCAGGTCAGTGATCCTGACCACCCGATCCCATCAGTCGCCTCTTACGACAAGCATGGGTTCCTGAAGACCAATTCTAACCCGCAGGCCCTCGTGTCTTTGAGAGGATTAAAGATTACAACATATTTTTGGGAGATGACCCCGACTCAAAGTACAATGAATCATGACAAGGTCGGACACTTCGGTGTACGCCACCCGCCTGCTTTGCCGATCGATACGCTGTCATCGCATGCACTCGATTAAAACTTAATGTAACCATAATCATGGATGATTGGCCTATCGATCACCACTCATAACACCTACTAATTCTTTATTGTTATTTCTGCAAGTCGATTGAAAGTCGATTTTGACCCTCAACTGAACGATCTAGTCACAAGCGGATGACGATAGCTCCTCATAAAACAGGGGGTGTTGTGGAAGCAATCCCTCTGACTGGTCGATGCTTGTAAATCAGCACATTTTTATACATTCGCGGGAATTTTTAATTTCATCTCCTGCTCGACTTGGAAATGTGAGAATTATTTTTCCAGCAATGGCTTCTCAAAAGAAAGCATCAGCTATAAATGTCTTCTTAACCATCCCCAAAGTAACACAAAAAGCCCTAGTAACACAGAAACTTTAACAATGAAGAAAGTATCTGCCCGTTTGGTTCCACAGATTCTGGCATCTGGCAACGCTTCGGGCATATATGTCTTGTGATAAGCTAACTCTGTTTGTAGCTTATCCAGAAAGATTGTTTCAACGATTTGTGAGAATGGATGAAACCTGGTTTCATTACTTCCGACATACAGCAAGAACTTTGCTCAACTTTGTTTGCTTCAAATAAATCATCTTAGGCAATACAGGGCGTTATCATCTTTTCGTTCTTAGCCACGTTTGAGTGGTTAAATATTGGTGTAAATTACTAAAGATGGAACGACAGCGATATCCTTATCAATGCTATAATTTATTATAAACTCTTGATGATAATGGTAAGATCAGTTGTAATTGGGTTTCAAATGTTAGATCTTTGCTGTTTACTTGTGGATATTCTTTTGTTTGGATTGCGCAAGACTTTGATGATGAAGAGGTATTTCTATTTTCATTAATACAAAGATTACAAGATATGTATTATGAAACCTGGCACAATAGTATTTCATCTTCATCCTTTTTATGTCATTATAATTCGATTAAGTCAGCTATAGAACCAGAGAAATATCTAACATCATTAGAAAATAAGGATTTGATCAGAGCCATGTGTAACTTTAGACTTTCTCTTCACAATTTTAATGTAATTCTTTCTAGAAGGTATAAACAAGATGATATTGATCAAATTAAATGTGCAAACTGTAAATTGGGCTTCATTGAAGATGAATTTCATGTATTATTACTTTGCGATAAATATACAGATCTGAGAGAGAAATATCTTCCACCTATTAAACATGTCCATAAAAACAATATGTTAATGGCAAATTTATTAAACTCTCAAATTTGCATTATTGATAAAACATATATTTATTGCTAGATAATCACTATAATTTCTGCTCACGTGAAATTATAAATACATTATCTATTAACTGTAAAATGGGCCATAAGGCCGTATTTTACCGAATAAAGTGTCTGTCTGTCTGTCTGTCATTTGCTGTTGTGTCTTGGTATTGTCAACCCAATGATACAACATCGAGTAAAAGATGTTAATGAAAGATCCCCAACTCACCATCTAAAATCAGAATACCTACCTCAGATATGTAATGAAAAGACCCAATCCATACCATTTACCGATTCCATGGTACATGTGACTGTAGCGCCCGTTCTTTGGACTATTTCCTACCCCTTGCTGTGATCATCGTCTCCATAGTAATGCTGTTGTTATGTATGTTTGTTTGATTGTGTTTTGTTTACGCTGCACACAGCAATATTCCAGGAGTATGACGTGGGTCTGTATGTAATCAAATCTGTACCAGACAAACCTGTGCTAATGAGCATTGATCATCTAAGGAGGCGATGGCATGCATCAACCAGGTCAGCGATCACACAACATAGTCGCCTCTTACAATCGTGGGTTGCTGAAGACCTGATCACACAACATAGTCGCCTCTTACAATCATGGGTTGCTGAAGACCTGATCACACAACATAGTCGCCTCTTACAATCATGGGTTGCTGAAGACCTGATCACACAACATAGTCGCCTCTTACAATCATGGGTTGCTGAAGACCTGATCACACAACATAGTCGCCTCTTACAATCATGGGTTGCTGAAGACCTGATCACACAACATAGTCGCCTCTTACAATCATGGGTTGCTGAAGACCTGATCACACAACAATCATAGTCGCCTCTTACAATCATGGGTTCCTGAAGACCTGATCACACAACATAGTCGCCTCTTACAATCATGGGTTGCTGAAGACCTGATCACACAACATACAATCATGTCCTGACAATCATGGGTTGCTGAAGACAGATCACACAACATAGACCTGATCACACAACATAGATCACACAACATCGCCTCTTACAATCATGGGTTGCTGAAGACCTGATCACACAACATAGTCGCCTCTTACAATCATGGGTTGCTGAAGACCTGATCACACAACATAGTCGCCTCTTACAATCATGGGTTGCTGAAGACCTGATCACACAACATAGTCGCCTCTTACAATCATGGGTTGCTGAAGACCTGATCACACAACATAGTCGCCTCTTACAATCATGGGTTGCTGAAGACCTGATCACACAACATAGTCGCCTCTTACAATCATGGGTTCCTGAAGACCTGATCACACAACATAGTCGCCTCTTACAATCATGGGTTCCTGAAGACCTGATCACACAACATAGTCGCCTCTTACAATCATGGGTTGCTGAAGACCTGATCACACAAACAGTCGCCTCTTACAATCATGGGTGCTGAAGACCTGATCACACAACAAAGTCGCCTCTTACAATCATGGGTTGCTGAAGACCCTCACACAATCATGGGTCGCCTGAAGACCTTCACAAACATAGTCGCCTCTTACAATCATGGGTTGCTGAAGACCTGATCACACAACATAGTCGCCTCTTACAATCATGGGTTGCTGAAGACCTGATCACACAACATAGTCGCCTCTTACAATCATGGGTTGCTGAAGACCTGATCACACAACATAGTCGCCTCTTACAATCATGGGTTGCTGAAGACCTGATCACACAACATAGTCGCCTCTTACAATCATGGGTTGCTGAAGACCTATTCTATTGTACCCGCGTCAATGGACGTTACTTACATATTGCCACAGTACAAACAGGCACGCGCACACACAGAGAGAGACAGAGAGGGTGGGAAAACACCTGCGAGGTGTCATGACGACATTGTAGTCCTGTTGTGGTCACCATCATTATGTATTCTCAGGTTGAGAGCTGAAGGTTTTATTGTGAACACCTCTCAGAATAAGGTTAATGTGGTGACCGCAAGGCGGGCATTTGTTCCGTATTTTGAAGTTTCCTTAAGACAATCTAGGCTGCATTTTCGTGACAGCTGGCGGTTGGAGAAGCCTAGCGGTGAAAGCTTTCTTTTGTCACGCCAGAGTTCGAGGTTCCATTCTCCACGTGCGTGGAAGACCTTTCTGGTGTCGCCTGCCATGATATTGCTGGGATATCTTTAAAATGGGCTTAAAATCATACTCTACTTACTCACTCATTCACGTACAGAAGTTCCAGTAAACACTTGAAACGCATCCAACGTATGACAGCATTCGTCATTGACACACTTAGTCATTGTAACGTTTATCCTTTGTAAGGGAAGCCGTTGATACACCTCTCTCGGTTATCAGTGAGGACAATACGGACACACAGTTCACGGCATGTGCAGGGAGTATAGGAACGTTGCTCGACTAGTCGCCGTGTGATCTCAATCACATGCCTCAGAAGGGACTCCCTCGGCCAGAGGTAAGCAGATGTTATGTTTGAGATTATAGTTCATAATATTGTCTACATGCTCAGTACAACTGAAGATGAAAGTCAAATTGTTTAATAGTTCGTTAATGATGACTGGGAATAAGGCAGTTCGTATTCCCCATTTATAAAATAAACGAAAAGTCAAAATAATTATGTCTGAACATTTAATCCACCAAAACCGAAACAAAACCGTAAACCCAATGAAATATCCCCGCACTGTACATTCACCGAAAGTGTGAATGTTAACTAAGCTTCTATGCTTCTGTGTAAATGTCTTCCCGATAATGGAAGCTATCTACTAAGTAATTTGTAACTCCTGGCTGGAGCTCGATATGGACGACCCTGCCCCTCAGCAATATGTCTAACTAACTGCCGATGTTAAACTGATTAACGCTGTCGTCAGCTATGACCACGAAATGCACGAGATTTTAAAACCCACATGCATAGACGCACAGCGACGGGTGTATTCGGGCGCGCTGACCCAAGCTAAAAACGAAAATATCTTTTCCTTCTGTCCAATGACGTATACCATGTGTCTTGACAAAAAATACAATCCCTGTCTGTGGAATAACCGTTTATGTAGGAATTACTTTTAGTATACACCAATGACACTATTGCTTTCAGAAAGAAACTACGGGAGACTATGCACAATATACAGAAGAAAGTAGACATAACGAGTAATCTATATATGAAGGTCTATACCAAAACGTCGCGATGATAGTACATAAATGATGTTGTTGAACCTATCAATTTACGAATAACACATGAGAATATATGCCAGAACGAGGTTTTGATAGTACATTATAGGAGTTGTCTAACTTCCTAATTTGCTGATAACATAATAGTATCTATGCTGAACCGTCGCTATAACATTATACAGGCTTGTTATCCATACACTGTGCCTACTTTGTCTTCTGTTTCAAGATTATATGAAACATTATTATATGTAATATAATATTTCTATTTCTCGTTACCTGATTCGACACTCGTGACGTCGTTAACCGCGAGAGATGTCACGCCACAAAGCAGATAAACATGTCGCAAAAAGATAACAAGTCTCACCGTGTACCTAGCTACCTTTTGTTTCCGAGGTGCAATTTTTTTAGAAACTTGAGATTGGGGTCCATTTAATGTCGGTGAGAGCGGATCATATCACCCGATGTAGGACAGAGCGGATCATATCACCCGATGTAGGACAGAGCGGATCATATCACCCGATGTAGGACAATGTGATGCGGGGCACTGATTGTTACAGCAAGGAATTAAAGGTAGTGTGTTCTCGCTATGTATAGGGGTATCTAGGAGTGAGTGAGTGAGTATGGTTTTACGCCGCTTTATCGCGGCGGGGACCCCAGAAATGGACTTCACACATTGTACCCATGTGGGGAATCGAAACCGGGCCTTCGGCGTGACGAGCGAACGCTTTAACCACTAGACTACCCAACCGCCCCAGGGGTGTCCAAGATAACTACATAAATATACAATCACAGCAGTTTAATCTGTGTTATATATATAGTACCACTGCTGTAGTTGTTATGTCAAAACACTGATTACACAACAGTCCTCGTTTCCTGCTGACTGGGTTCCGTCCTTTTGCGCAACTTAGTACAATAACCAGTCCTGAATGTTGAGACCAATTCATTCAACTCAATATACAAATATTAATCAGTATTATTTGATACATTATTATTTGTATATTGCAACACGACGCTCCTTCTAATCCTTGCAAACTCGCGTGCTCTGTCGTACAGCATGCTCTGACACACGGATATAGTGGAAATCTCAAAACGAGGCTCGGCCTGTAGAAAAGTTTGGCGGTCTGGTACGGACTTGATATTATATCAATTACACTGTACGTTACAAAAATACACTGAATAAGCGCAAAGAACTGTTTCAAATAACAGGTGTAGCCAGTGAGCCAGATGCATTGTGAATCATTTTACGACTTCATCAAACAGGACAATCTGTGACGTCTTAGTTAAGGTCATGCTGCCTAAACCTTACCATAAAATATAGAAATACGATTTTATTAAAGTTTAAAAATAAAATTCATTTGCAAATACCATTTTCTTTTGAAACAAGGAATTGGAATTTAGTGTAACCATAGTTGTTTGTAGTGTCTCTTATCACTTTCACACGAGAAAATTCGGATCGGCTGAAAAGTAGGTCATTGGTTAATGAGACTCATCTCATCTCATCTCAAGTTAATCATCTTTGGTAAAGCACAAGTTATGGAAGTGGGTTGTCTCGGTATATATTACCTATAGCTGGTAAACGTTACGTACATGTCCCAGGGCAGTACCTGTCAAAGTCAATTTCATAAATAAGTTGTCAATAAAATGCTACTATTTTGTACAGATGTCTGATTTCATCTAGGGCAACAAAGTTATTTATTGTGCAGTTTAGGCATGGTGTGTAAATACCGTGAACAATCACCCAATCAAGGTAAGTCGCAGCGGTCTCGTGTCCAGTATTTCCGTAAAACATACATTTATTACTCTGTTTGAAAAAAAATATTCATGTGTTTATTTCAAGAACATTACCTTTCTGTCTGTAAATAAAATTGTAAATATCGGGATCAATAATGACAGGTACGTGAAATCAATGATAGTTAATTGCTTTTATACATTTTCCCTTTCTTGGTATATCAGTCACACAGAGGGTTATTAAACGGAGTGTGCTGTGGGAAAGGAAGGTCTAGTTGCAGCCCAAGTGAATGGATGTCGTTGTCATGTGACCCGTTTTCTTAATGTAAACTACCCGTGAAGGTCCGGGTTAGAATATTGATCTTAGTAACCCATGCTTGTCGTAAGAGGCGACAAACGGGATCGAGTGGTCAGGCTCGCTGACTTGGCTTACACATGCCATCGGTTCCTCAGTTGCGCATATCGATGCGCATGCTGTTGACCACTGGATTGTCTGGTCCAGACTCGATTATTTACAGACCGTCGCCATATAACTGGAATATTGCTGAGTGCGGCGTAAAATTAAACTCACTCACTCACTTAATGTAAACAAACGAATGTATAAATTTGAATCTGTCATCCTTCAAGATCCAGATAAAAAGATAGTCTTCAGCAACCATTGCTTGTCGAAAGAGGCGATTAACCGGCTCTTGTGGTCAGGCTCGATGACCTGGTTGTCACATATCATCGTATCCCAGTAGCTAAGATCGATGCTCATGATGTCAATTACTAGATTGTGTGATCCAGGAAGCCATCACATAGCTTTAATATTGGTAAACAACAAGACACAAAAAGCAACATTGAGAGGTGACGAACCTTCCTGTTGGTTGCGAGTGGTGACAAATGGGGCTTCTTGTAGGTTGCGAGTGGTGACGAATGGGGCTTCTTGTAGGTTGCGAGTGGTGACGAATGGGACTTCTTGAAGGTTGCGAGTGGTGACGAATGGGGCTTCTAGTAGGTTGCGAGTGGTGACGAATGGGGCTTCTAGTAGGTTGCGGGTGGTGACGAATGGGGCTTCTAGTAGGTTGCGAGTGGTGACGAATGAGGCTTCTTGTAAGTTGCGAGTGGTGATGAATGAAACTTCTTGTAGGTTGCGAGTGGTGACGAATAAGACTTCTTGTAGGTTGTGGGTGGTGACGAATGGGACTTCTTGTAGGTTGCGCGTGGTGACGAATGGGACTTCTTGAAGGTTACGAGTGGTGACGAATGGGGCTTCTTGTAGGTTGCGAGTGGTGACGAATGAAACTTCTTGTAGGTTGCGAGTGGTGACGAATGAGACTTCTTGTAGGTTGCGAGTGGTGACGAATGGGCTTCTTGTAGGTTGCAAGTGGTGACGAATGGGACTTCTTGAAGGTTGCGAGTGGTGACGAATGGGGCTTCTTGTAGGTTGCGAGTGGTGACAAATAGGGCTTCTTGTAGGTTGCGAGTGGTGACGAATGGGGCTTCTTGTAGGTTGCGAGTGGTGACGAATGGGGCTTCTTGTAGGTTGCGAGTGGTGACGAAGGGGGCTTCTTGTAGGTTGCGAGCGGTGACAAATGGGCTTCTTGTAGGTTGCGAGTGGTGACGAATGGGGCTTCTTGTAGGTTGCGAGTGGTGACGAATGGGGCTTCTTGTAGGTTGCGAGTGGTGACGAATGGGGCTTCTTGTAGGTTGCGAGTGGTGACGAATGGGGCTTCTTGTAGGTTGCGAGTGGTGACGAATGGGGCTTCTAGTAGGTTGCGAGTGGTGACGAATAGGGCTTGCGACTGGTGACGAATGGGGCTTCTTGTAGGTTGCGACTGGTGACGAATGGGGCTTCTTGTAGGTTGCGAGTGGTGACGAGTGGGGCTTCTTGTAGGTTGCGAGTGGTGACGAGTGGGGCTTCTTGTAGGTTGCGAGTGGTGACGAATGGGGCTTCTAGTAGGTTGCGAGTGGTGACGAATAGGGCTTGCGACTGGTGACTGGTTGTGGTGACGAATGGGGCTTCTTGTAGGGCTTCTAGTAGGTTGCGAGTGGTGACGAATGGGGCTTCTTGTAGGTTGCGAGTGGTGACGAATGGGGCTTCTAGTAGGTTGCGAGTGGTGACGAATGGGGCTTCTTGTAGGTTGCGAGTGGTGACGAATGGGCTTCTTCCTGTAGGTTGCGAGTGGTGACGAATAGGGCTTCCACCTGTCTCTTCATGTAACCTGTACATGCAACAATCACCTGTCAGGCCAGTACGATGGTCGAGAGTGATCAACACCGTTCCGATGTTGACACTTCATATTACAGGTGAACTCTCACTTGACGTATTCATTCTGAATCTATATCTGAATTCCAGTGTTTCAGTCATACCTACTATATGACTTACCTGACGTTCAGGTAACCTGGCCTAACAATCAGTAATGTAAACACCCCGCTTATCGTTCTTGTCATCTGTCAGCCTTGTGGTATGGCCTTCAGACATCAGCATCTTGCTCATGTTGACATTTCCCGTTACACTCAAATAAGTACTGTGTGAAACGTCGTATTTCAATAACTTGCTTGGAGACAAAGACACCTGATTATGCGACCGAAGTGACCAAGCCTGATGGCAGTCGACAAGACCAGCTCAGCATCTGAGAGTGTAGCGACACGCGTGGCGGACCTGATCAGTCACGGGAAATAAAGCCATGTACCTGGCCATTGTGTAGAGTCCTTAACGAGAGTTTAATGCTGAAACACACTGATTGTTATTTCTTGTCCTTCATATCTCCTCGGTTCCAAAGGCTTCAGTGAGTGAATGAGTTCAGTTTTACGCCGCTTTCAGCAATATTCCAGCAAATCACGTCTTGGGACTCCAGAAATAGGCTTCACACGTTGTACCCATACGGGAATTGAACCTTGGTCTTCAACGGGACGAGCGAACGCTTTAACCACTAGGCTACCCCACTACCTCAGTGGGCAATGGGGTTTGAAAGAGCAAAACTAAGAAATATATATATCCTCTTCTACCTAAAAAATCTTTCCATGTGTTTCCGAGAATAGTATTTATTTGAACCACTTTCTCGTCACGGGGAGGTCAGAGAAACATGAAATTAAAACCCATGAAGTCAAAATGAATACACTTTCAAAACTGAACTCTCACTGACGACGAACTCTGGACTATATAGACAGCGTAATAGGTTATCTTGTTGCCAAGCCTTTAGAGATATGTAGCGTTGTTGTGAAGTTCTCTCGATGTAATCAGTACATTGGGTCTGATTGTCATCTCCCACTCAGATAACGGCTGAGGAAGGTAAAGGCCGCTGGGGTGACATCTGGAATCTGCGATAAAGAACCCGGTCTACGAAGGAAGCCCGCAAGGTAGATAAACATTATTACTCACCAGCATTGAAAAAGCACCACTTTCAAAAGTTGATATTACTGAAAGTACGTTTAAGCAATTGATATTTTTTAGTTTATAATAACAGATGGACGTCTGACAAAAACAACAACACAGAAAAGACGCTCATTCATTAAATCGTTTCACAGTCACAAAGGATCAAACACATGTGGGGTCAAATGGAAAAGTCATTATCGCGTGTGGCTGCCATTTGCATTGACACATGCAGTGCAACGTCTCTTCATTGAGTCAATAAGCGTCCGAATAGAGTTCTGGGGGATGGCATTCCACTTCTGCAGTAGTGCAGCCTCAAGTTCCCGGATGTTTCGCATCTGTTGTCGCCGCGAAAGCCTTTGACTAATTTCGTCCCAATAGGGGATACATCTGGTGACAGTTTTGGCCAGTGAATTGCCGGGATGTGTTGCTGGGCCAAATACTGCATGGAAAGTTGAGCTGTGTGTGCCCGTGCGTTGTCCTGTTGAAAATTGATTGATGAAAGAATGGTACCACGTGATTCTGAAGAATCTGGTCACGGTAGTAAAGGGCATTAACTCGCCCATGACAGACATGAAGGGCAATCCTGTGATTGTAACTTATTCCACCCCAGCCCATGACACTCCCACCACCCCAACGGTCTGTCTGAACCACACTCCCATCAGCATAGCGTTCACCACGTCTACGCCAAGCACGTAATCGGCCGTCAGCATTACGTAAGTGAAGACGTGACTCGTCAGTGACTACCACACCATGCCATTGTTGTAACCTCTATTGAACATGCCTGTTAGCCCATTGTATACGCTCATTACGGTGTCTGTCAGTCAGAATTGGTCCAACGTCGAGCATGAAGGGAGTGCAGCAGTCCTGGCAGCCGGCAGTGTTCAATTACGGATATGGTCACGGACAATATGGCGATCCTGACGGGACGTCGTGACACGCTGTTGCCAAGGTCGTGGCAGGTCACGGGTGCTGCCTCTCTGCTGATGTCGTCCATGAAGCCTAACGATGGCGGAGTGGCACCGTCCAAGTCGTCGAGCAATATCCCTGCTGCTGGTGCCAAACTGAATCATGCCTCGTGCACGCTCTCTTTTCTGAGTTGTTTACCTCGGCATCTCTGTCCTCGTTTCACAATCGTTAGTGAAGCAATGATAATAGTTTCTCATACAACTGCTTATAAAGTCACAGTCAGCACGATTTCAGAACGCAATTCGCTTTTTTTCATGGCGTGAATGCATGTTGATGCATTTTGGAATTAAGATTCATACTGTGAACAGGAATTTGTTTCTAAAGCATTTTTATAACTAGACATGCCCTTCGACTTCATGATGAAAATATGGACAATTTTAGACTGGTGCGTTTTCAATGCTGGTGAGTATATTTCTAAACTAACGGGCATTCATTGTGATCTTGCATTCATTAAGAAAGAGTCAAGCGGTCAAAAATTAAAAAATCAAAGTTCATTCAAAAAGTGCATAAAATGTCACATCGTGAGACTGGAGTCAGGGGACACGTCATCAATAGCCAGTGTGACCACCCTGGCATCCATACACGCCAACACACGTCTACTCATCGGCGTTGTCAGTCAGCGGATGGCGTCAGCAAGAATCCTGTTCCATAGGTCCAAGAGAGTCTGTTCAAGTTCCCGTCGGTTCGCTGGAGGTGGAACGTCTGACGAACAAAACCAAACTCAGTCAGTCAGTCAGTCAAGATGATCACAGTGATGTTCAATGGTGTTCATGTCTGGAGAGGCCGCTGGCCAGGGCAATCCGTTGACGTTAACGTTGTGAAGGTATTCAGATAACGATTCTGGCGGTGTGGGACCTCGCGTTGTCATGCCACAAAAAGAATACTCTTGGCCCACAAGAGGTCTCAACACTCATCCCTGTGTCGCTGGGCAGATTTCAGATTTCCTCGGATGATAAACGGTCCTATTGTTCTCAGGCCACCAAAGCCGCCCCATACCATGACGCCTAGTCCATGGAACGCAGTTTGGTGCTTGTCGCTCTCCTCTGCCTGGAAAACCGCGAACTCGTTTCGGAACAGTCTAAACCAACTTTTATCTATAAAGAGCATTGTCTCCCAGTCACGTCCCTGCCACCGACGCACAGTTCGTGCCCATTGCAGTCTGCATTGACGATGTTTTCTGCTTGGGTTCAAACCTGTACCAGCGTTGTTGTTTTTATACGATTACTTAAAGTGCCTTTATGCCCGTTAGTTTATTACCGCTTGGGGACTAAGACGTCCATAGAATTGCAGTCAGGAGTTAGCAATTATTATTTTAAAATGATTTCCATTAAAGGGGAAAAAGTAATTGTGTTAACATTTAGTTAGTGGGAGATTTTTTCTTGGTATTATGGCCATTGTTGTTTCGGGTTTGCCTAATCAAATGTCAGACATCATCTATTTTATTAATGGGGAATAAGAACTGCCTCATTCCCACCCGTGAACCTCCGGGGTAGAATTGGTCTTCAACATCCCGTACTTGTAGTACGATGCGAGTAATGGGTTGTCTGTAATTACTCAAGTTTAAACGACCCAGTGACTGACATCATGAGCATCAATTTAGGCTTAGGATCAAGTCTACGCGGATGACCACCCGATCCCTTTAATGGTCGTGAACTACAAACATCTGGATTTCAAGGGAAAGACACTTGTCCCAGCAAATGATTGAAACTAGTCGATATGCCTCAAACTTAAAAAGGGTGGTTGGGTAGCCCCGTAGTTAAAGCATCCGCTCGTCATGCCGAAGACCTGGGTTCGATTCCCCATACGGGTACAGTCCCCCGCCGTGATATTGCTGGAATAGTGCTAGACGTGGCGTAAAAATAGACTTACTCACTTTGAGTCCCTAACCCGGAATCACACGTAGATATGTGTGATTTTACATGTATTTAACAAATGTCAAAATCAGTACGTGTATATGGAGTGATGATTATAGAAAAAGTACTTTATCTATGCTTCTGTTTCGACATTATAAGCAAGTTTACATATTTTTTCAAACGTATTTCTAATTGGCTCCAGTAACCGTATCACCGTGCTGCTAGCTATAATAGCTCCCTCTTTGATATTGACTACAGATTATATGACATCCCGTGCAGTGACTCCACGCATGACATCAGCGTGCACATCTGTTCCAACGATTGTTTTCGATACTTGGGAAGAATGACGTACACATTGTCAATACTGTCGTGATACCTGACTCGGGGTGTATCTCTACTGTTACCGTCGTCAAGTCTCGACTGTTTCCACGTCGGCCCGATAACTGCGGGCATGAATAGTCGCCACAGGACACATTGCAGTGAGTGGCTATTGATATTTTACTTATTTGGGATCCCTGCCAGTTACGGGTATCGTTCCAAGAAAACTTAATTAAACTGTTGTAATTTCAGTGTTTAAGCAGTGATGTTAGTAATGCATAATGAAATCGCCAGCAAAGAAGGCCAAATGTTGTGTGCGTTGGAGAACGACCTCGGTTGAGGTATTTTCTGCACATGCTTCTTGATCGCTGAGCTCGCCTGGCACGTGCATGGGTATTTCACGGATCAGAAACAAATCTACCTTGACTGTGTTTTGTATGGACATATGCATGGACTCTTAGTTTCCTCGGACCTTTCCAAGAAAATCAGCTCGACAAAGTCGAGTTTGTTTCCTTGTATTTGGGGAAAATGTTTCCCGTCACTGATCGTTGTTGTCACTGTTGCCGTTGACGTTGTTGCTGCTGTTGTTGTTCATGGACACTGGTACCATTTATATGTATTGTTCTTTGACCTGGGGTGGGGGGTGGAGGGTGTATTAGCCTAGTGGTTAAAGCGTTTGCTCGTCACGCCGAAGCCTATTTCTGGTGTCCCCCGTCGTGATATTGCATGAACATTGCTAAGAGCAGCGCAAAACTAAACTCACTCACTCACTTTGACATTGGTACAGTCTCAATGTGCTGTTCATAGACACTGGTAAAGTCTGTACGGACTGTACATGGACATGGGTTAAATCGATTAATCATCTAATGGAGGGTGTTATCGGTGCATTAAAGCAATCTGATAAACTTGGTATCAGTGTGCGAAATAGCCACTAGCCCGCTAGCCCGTGGCTAGTAAAAATCCAGTCGGGCCAGTAACTCCCCACAGTCACTGGCTCATGAATTTTCATGGGGTCATTTCATATATATATCACTCTTTCCGACTTGTTAAGTTGTAATACACTTTTAAATCATGAAAGATTATGGCCTGATAAATGATGGTGTTTTTCCTTTTTGTAATCTGTTGCTTAGTTCCTACATTCAAATTTCGGGCTAGTAACGTTCAGGCATAGCTAGCCCGGCTGGCTGACAAAAGTTGGAAACTATTTTGCACACTGCTTGGTATCCAAATCTAATAACTATGCAGATTACGTCAATCCACGAACTACTTTCACAAAACTCCATACACGCCATGCGAATCCTAAAACATTTTAACATTTCATTGATGACGTCGTCGCGAGTTTACATTGCGTGGACGAGTTCGTAAACAAACATGGCTGCCCCCATTCTCAAAATTGGTGATTCTGTAACAGAGGTTTTGGAGTCGTTACTGCAGTAATTGACTTTGGAAAACATGAAACGGAGTACTTCGTTCAAATTGAAGGTACGGATTATGAGGCACGAGTTAAAGGCAATCGTCTAAGACAGGTACCAACCAAGGATTTCGATCTATCGATCACAATACAGACGACGAATCGATTCCGTCAGGTATCAGAAACTGATATTGATGAGGTGATTACCAATGCAATGAAAACAAAAACACTGCCAAGAAAACCCTGCCCGATTTTGTTGTTCTTTTAGACAGAAAGATCTTATTTTAAGCATGAGTTATGTTTGCGCTGCACTGTATGTTTGCCAAAGGCTCGCATAATACCATTTTTATTCTTAATATATGATATTAATGATACGGAAACACACTCGGTTAATAATCTCTATATATCCGTACTACTCATGGACACAGCCTGTTTT